CCCGGAGAGTGTTTCCAGGTAGCAGCTCAAGCAGGCTAAATCCAGATGAACTGCATCAGTCTCCCTGAGTTGAGGAGATAAAGCTGGAACTCAAGGGAGGCCAAGGGAGGCTGAGTTCACTGGAAAGAGTACCAGGGAGGAGAGAATGCATAGAGCAAGAACATCACAGATCTCCAAAGGAATCATGTAAGAAAACTCCCTAGGACAGAGAAAGAAATTCCCCAAAATATTAAAGGTACCAGTGTTCACATGGGGCAAAAAAAGATCACATGTTCCCAGCAGCCAGAGTAGAAAACTTCGTAACTCATAGGTCATTGGGTAAGTATTCAGAGGAGCTTTGTATAGGAATGTAAAAATATCCAACATCCTATAAGGTAAAATTTACATGTCTGGCATAAGATCAAAAAATTATTAGATATGCAAATCAGCAAGAAAATACAAACCATAATGAGAAAAATCAATCAAAAAAGTAACCCAGAAATGACAGAGATGATAGCATTAATGGACAAACATATTAAAACACTTATTACGATTATATTCTATATGCTTGAGAATCCAGAGGAAAGACTCAGTATATTAAGTAGAGACATAGAAAAAATTCAAAAGATTCAAACTGAACCCATACAGATGAAAGCTACAATGTCTTAGATTAAAAAAATCCATAGATGTAATGAAAAGCAGTTTGGACATTACAGAAAAAAAAATATTAGTAAACTTGAAGACAGAGCAATAGAAACTATACAAAATGAAACACAAAAGACTGAAAAGATTTTTAAATGAACAATCATCAGTGAGCTGTGGAACAACTTCAAGTAGCCTAGTATACATATAACTGGAGTTCAGAAGAGGAGAGAGAGGGAAAGAAAAATACATTTGAAGAAATAATGCACAAAAAAATTTCCGTATTTGATGAAAACTGTAAACCCACAGGCCCAAGGACATCAACAAACACTAAGCACAAGAAACATAATTTTGCATGAAGGCACAGCATAATCAGATTGCTTAAAAACAGTGATAACAAGAAAGACTTAAAAGCAGTCAGAAAAAGACACATTATGTACAGAGAAACAGAGGCAAGAATGACAGACAGATTTCTCATCAGAAAATAGGCAAGACAGAAGACAGTGAAACACTATCTTTTAAAGTTCTGAGAGGAAAACTATCAAATTAGAATTCTGCATTAGTGAAAATATCTTTTAAAAATGAAGACTTTCTGAATACAAAACTGAAAGAATTTATCACTAGCAGAATTGTGCTATAAGAAATGGTAAAGAAAGTCCTTCAGACAGGAGGAAAATGACACCAGACAGAAAGTTGGATCTACACAAAAGAAAGAGGAGTACCTGAAATGGTTACCAACTGGGTAAATATATAAAACTTATTTAAATCTTTTTAAAAAACAATTGATGGCTTACAGAAAAACTAATGCAGGCTTCCCTTGCTATCCAAAAGTTCCTATGAAAGCTTTCATAAGCCAAATGGCATAAAGTGAAGAAGTAATTACCTTAGGACACATCTTGCTAATGGATGCACAAAATAAATTGAGATAAAGCACAGAGGCTCACAGACATAGTTCAAAGCTATGGTGGCTTGACGCTGAGATGCTGAGTGTAGTTCCCAGGGAAGGAGCTTGGTGGTGCCACTCTTGCTGCTCGGGATGTGCACTGCCTCTATAATGGCTCGCTGCAAAACAAATGCTAAACGCTATTTTCGCTTTTCACCTTTTTTTATAAAAGCGAAAACCCTCTTCCAATTTCTTTCAGGTAGTGAAAACAGGTACTAACGTAGGTCTTTCACAAAAGCAAGGTGGTGTAAAGTGAACTTTCAAAAAGCAAGGGATATCTGTAATTCCTTGAGGGGTTTACAACACATGTAAAAGTAAAATGTATGACAACAGCAGCACAAAGGCCAGGAGGAGAGAAATATAAGTATACTGTAGTTTGATTCTTAAACTACATGTGAACTAGTATCATACCACTTGAGATGAACTCTGATAAATTAAAGATATATACTGCAAACCCCAAAGTATAGCTAAATAAGCAGTGAAAAAAAAGATAAAATGGAATCATAAAAGATACTCAACCCACAAGAAGGCAGAAAACAAGGAGAAAGGTAACAGAACAGATGGGACAAATAGAAAAAAACCAGCATGATAAAGAGATTTAAACTCAAACATAAACAAATCAATCATTACATTAAATGTATGTGGCCTGAACATCCTCACTATCAGGCAGGTTGTCATAATGGGGAAAAAAAAACACCTAACAGATGCTGCTTACAAAAAAACTCATTTTAAATATAAAGACAAAAATAGATTAAAGGTAAATGATAGGAACCTAATTACCTCCCTCTCCCTTAAAAAAAAAAGGTAAAATAAATCTGTTCAAAAAAAAAGTAAATGATAGAAAAATATATATAAATACACTAACACTAAAATATAAATACACCACCACTAATCAAAAGAAATCTGGAGCAGCTGTATTAACTGCAATCAGAGTAGATTCTGGAGGAAATATAATCAGGGATAAGAAGGGTAATTTCATAATGACGAGGAGTTAATTCATCAAGAGGACACAACAATCCTAAACAAATATGAACATCATAACAGAGCTTCAAAACACATGAAGCAAAAACTAATAGAAATATGAAAAGAAATAGACAAATACACAATTATACATGGAGATTTCAACAGCAGTCTTTCAGTAATTGACAGAACAAACAGAAAATCTTTAATAATATACAACACTATCTACTACCAACTTGACCTAATTGACATTTATAGCCATTCTATCCAACAGGAACAGAACAGATATACTTTCCAAGTGAACATAAAACATATACTAAGACAAATGATAGTTTGAGACATAGAACGAGTCTAAATACATTTAAGAAGATTGATATAATACAAAGTATGTTTTCTGGCCACAACAGAATTAAATTAGAAATCAACAACAAAAAGACATGGAGAAAACATCTGAATATTTGGGGACTAAATAACATACATCTAAATAATCCAGGTTTAAAGAAAAATCAAAAAAGAAATTACTAAGTATTTTTAACTGAGTGAAAATGAAGAAACAACATATCAAATTTATGACATGCAGCTAAAGCAACACTTAGATGAAAATTTATACCACTGAACACCTATAACACTAAACACCTACAAAAGAAGATGGGTCTAAAATCCATTAATTCAGCTTCCACCTTAAGACAAAAGGAAAGAGCAAATAAAATCCAAGGAGAACAGAATAAAAGAAATAATAAAAATCAGAGAGGGAATTAATAAAAGAGAAAATGCAAAAATAGAGAAAAGCTGGTTCTTCGAGATCAATAAAATTGATAAATCTCTAGCCAGATTAATCAGGGGAAAAAAAGGGAAGATACAAAATAAAATATTAAGAATGAGAGAACTGTCATAAATCTAGATAGTAAAGATATTAAAAGAATAATTAGAGTAGGTTACGAATAACTTTATGCCAATAAGTTCTGTAAGTTAGATTAAACAGACAAATTCCTTGAAAGACTAACAAACTACCAAAACTCACAACAAGAGACCAGGCCCAGATACTTCAACCTGTAAATTCAATCTGAAACATTTAAGGAAGAAATAATACCAATTCTACCAAAACTTGTCCATAAAACTGAAGACAAGAAAATACTTTCTCATATTGAGGTGAGTATTACACTGATACCAAAACCAGACAAAAATATTACAAGAAAAAAACAAAAACAAAAACAAAAACAAAACTATTGGCCAATATCCCCAAAGAAAACTGAGATAAACATTCTTAGCAAAATTTTAGCAAATTGAACCCAACAATACATATACAAAATAAAACATCATGACCAAGTAAAATTTACCTCAGGAAAGCAAGGTGGTTTAACATCTAAAAATCAATGTTAAAAAATCAACCCATGTATTTCATTATATGAATAGAAGTCCAAACAAACAAACAAACAAAACCTAAAACCCTATAAGAGCATCTCAATAGATGCAGAAAAAGCATTTGACAAAATCTATCATCTATTACTGATAAAAACTTTCAGCAAACTAGGAATAAAAGGGTACTTCTTCAATCTGAAAAAGGCTATTTAAAAACAAAAAACAAAAACAAACCCTTACATCAGACTGAATGGTGAAAAACTAACTGCTTCCCTCCTAAGATCAGCAATAAGGCAAGGATGTCTGTGCTCACCACTTCTATTTAACACTGCATTAAAGGTTCTAGCTAGTGTAATAAGGCAAGAAATAGAAATGAAAGGCATCCAGATTTAAAAGGAAGAAGTAGAATTGTCTTTATTCACAGACAATGTGATAGCTTGTGCAGAAAATACTACAGAATCCACAAAAAAGCTATCAGAACTAATAAATGAGTTAAGCAATATTACAGGATACAAGATCAATATACAAAAATCAACTCTATTTCTCTATATATTAGCAATGAATTGTAAATAGTTAATAATATCATTTACACTAGGATCAAAAATGAATTAGATGTACATTTAACCTAAAAAAGATGCACAATCTACAAACTGAACACTCCAAAACAATCCTGAGAGAAACTAGAGGAGATCTAAATAAATGCATAGGTATACTGTGTTCAAATAATAAATTAAGCAATATCAGAGGAGATGAATGGAGAGTAGAGAGAGGAGGAAAAACCTAAGATTTAGTTAATGATTACATCATATCATATAAAAGCAGTAACAACAAAAATAGTTACACTTTCAAACTCTATGAATTATAACTCCACAGTCTCTGAAAACTGAAAGAGAACTGTTTGCAGGAAATACTCTGAACTGACAGACTACAAAGAAGAAGGCACTTAGAAGAAAATGAGAGAATAAAATAAGTAAGATGAGATGTTTGCCTTTGTAAAGCAAGGCTAGATAAGAGTAAGATAGGCAGCAATGGAGGTTTACATGGAGACCTTGTAGAAGACTTTGAAACAAAATGAGGTCTTGTTGGAACAAGCCCTGCAATACATCTGGTTTTCAAAATGACTGTGACAAAAACTTAAAAGCATTCAAAAACAGTTTAGGGCAGCAATATTAATATTTTAAAGAGATTTTTCAGAAAGATATTTGCTTTATAAATAATCACAAATCTAAAGGCTGCTACCATCTTATAAAGGGCAAATGATGTAAAATTATACCTAGCAAATGAAATTTAGGTTTTAGAATAAGTTCTTAGTATTACAAATCAAGTACATTTTTCAGATTTCATCAGTTATTGGCATACTTGTACCAAAACATTCAATCATTACCATCAAAAAATAAACTTGTACGCAGACACTGTCATCCTTCATTATCAAATTTTCAACTTGAATAAACATGCCAAATTAGATTTTGAAAGCATCTAAGCCAACTTAACTTTTGCTGGAATATTTTACTTCTACACATTTAAAATGAAAATGTCCATAAAGGAATCTGGATACATGAAACAACAGATTTCATAAAAATATATTAAATCCTTTGCATACTAATAACTTTTAAAGTAACACATTTTCGTATTCATGCTGTTATAGAGAACAGTAATTAATACAAACATCAAGAGCAATCATTGTAGAAATACTGGTCATTTTTACACAGTTGGCAAATTATCAAGTACCTGCTGCTTATTAATTTTCAAACATATGGGAGCCCTGTGGTAATACACATTAAATTGATTCTCTTCCACAAATATGGCATAATGAAAAAATGAATTATTAATCTTCCCTATAAGAAATCACTTAACTCATTCATATTTCTGGCAATGTACAACTTAGATACAAACATTCTTTTACATAGAAACTAATTAAAGACTTCAGTAAAATATGTTATATTTACATGATCACGAAATGGTAGGCCATCATTCCTGCTATAATCCTATTATTACATGTACTATAATACAGTTTTTATTACTTTTTATGTTGCTAAACTTTAATTTCTTTAAAACTAGTCACACAAATGTATATAATTCACGCATTCTCACAAAAAAAATTCTTTCATTAAACAACTAAGAACTTTACAAATCATGGCTATCTTAAATCAACCAGATAACTGAAAAATGAATAATTTTCAATAAATTTAATTTACTCAATTTCACAAAATATATGGCTTCCTTGAGTGACATCATTATATGTCAAGTTTCGAAGCATTTTTTCAATTAACTAATAACTAAAAGTTATGATTTGTATTTATTTCATTTGTAGCTAGCTTTCTTTATTTATTTATAAATTAATAGTTTTCTAGTTTTCTAAAATCTTACATGAAGAAAATGCAGGAAAAAATCTACTGTATTAATAACATTAGATTGCTTATTGACTTTACTACATAAGTGCCCTGAGTACCTGATACCAACTACTGACTGGCCTCAAAATCATTATAAAGTACATGTTAGTAATTAGTCATGAAATATCAGAGTAATCTAAATTAAAATTAAATATCCCAAAATAAGATAAATAATTTACTATCATATTCAAGAATATGACATGGAAATCTACATAAAATAATGTGATCTGCTGAAGTAGTGAGCTTCTATACCCCAATCACACTCCAAAAGAAAGTTGCAGGGTAATGTAAACTATTACACTACAAGAGTCTTCCCCTACCACATTGAAAAAAGAGAATCCAAAGAAATAAAATAGTTGTAAAGGCAGTATGTTACTTCAGTAGGACTTTATGTTAAAGTATCTGTCAGAAAATACTAAGGTTTCTATGGCTTAAAAAAAAAAAATCTACCAAGCGCATATTAACATTAGTAGTATTATACACTATAGTGCATGAATATTCTTCCTGAAATACGTTAAGTAACTGTCATTTAAAAAAATAAATGAAGGGTTTAGCAAAAAGCATGAATATATTCCAAAAGTGTTCTCTTCTATTCTCATTTTATATAAATCTGGAGCCATTCTAAAGCTGAATATAAAAAGATACGCTATACTGTTGACTACAGAATACTACAAAGTTTTATTGCCATTTAAACAAAGAAGCCATAACAGTTAAATGAGCTCAAGAAATAGGTTTCAGTATCACAAGGTGCCAGCTGTAAAGAGTTATGGCTAATTGAATATGGAACTCCTGCTTAATCAGATAACTGCTCTGCTATTTCCAAATGAAATGCCATTTCCATACTGTCTGAAAATGGCCCGTTTTATTGGTAACCAGAGAAAACAATATAAACTGTAAATAACATTAAGTGCTCTGTTTACCCATTCCAGGCACTGAAGTAGCAGGAGATCCAAGACGTCTTGGTAACACATTTGAAGATAGGGCTGGAGTAACAGTTCTTTCTGGGGGTCCACCAGGGGCTGAAGTGTCCTTTGGTGGTCCAGGAGACACTGGAACTAGCGGAGGAGGGCCCTGGCTAGAGCTTGCTGGTGCTGGAGAAAGGTTTCTTTGAGCTGCAGTTCGCTGACGAATCTCTGAGAGTAAGAATAAAAAGTACGGATTAGTTCAATACCCAATATACCACCATTAGCCAATGTGACAAATGACCTACATTTAATAGTTCTGTGGCACTAGAAAGCATCTGTAGGGTCAAACTGCTTGGAATAAGCAATCTATAAAGTGTAACACTGAAAATTGACTATAAACAGAGTACTCTATTTCTGAACCTACAATTCAACTGCATATGTAAATTTACACAAGCCTTGATCTAAGTCTATCTGCTGATATTATTTTCAAAATGAATTCAAATAAAATAAAATCATCACCCAATTATGCATCGTATCCTTTTACAATAATCCTTCCCAAGTTACGATAAAAGAAAGAAAACTTATCAGAATTACTGAAAATTACATAACTGTTTTTTCAAGTTCAAAAAATGATAATGCTAAGAAATAAGTGAACAAGTATATTCTGGAATTATCAAATAATTTATGAAGTAATTAATCTAAGTAGTCACAGAAATGCTGAAAAAGTATTCTTTACTATTAGGTACTATTCCCATCTCCTTTATACTATTGCTATCTTTTTGGGTAATTTTTTTTCCCAATACATTTAACAAAGGAAACTCCACTCTGCATCCACAATGTACTATCATAAATAAATCTTATCTTTTAGTTGCAGAAATTACAAGATTTTCCATAACAGGGGTTCGTAAATATGCCAAATTCAGGCTGCCACCTCTTTTTGTAGTTTTATTGAAACACAATAATGCCTTTGTTTACATATTGTCTATGGCTGCTTTAGAAGAGTTGAGTAGTTACAACAGAGACCATATGGCTCTCAAAGCCATTTACTATATTTACTGTCTGGTCCTTTACAGGAAGATTCATGATCCCCTCCCTACTTGATAATGTATAATTCAATTCTATCATTCCCTCTTCCCACCAATACCTTATTTGAATGTTGATGGTAAGATCTCAAATTTTAAAGAAGCACTTAACAGCTTTTTAATTCTATATTATCACCTTAAATTATTATAAATCCTGAAACTACAGGCTAAAACAAAAGAAGTTAAATTTTAACTTTAATTGGCATGATTGGTTTTAAAAAATGCATACTTTCAGAAGCAAAATACTTTAGGGTTCTATTTGACAGTTAAAGATCTTTATGAAAAGTTCATTGCAAACAAAACTACAGCTTAATCTGTACTGCCCCTGGGGCCCCTAGATTAGGCAATCAGAGATTTTTACTACCTTAGGGTCAATGCCCCTACCCAGTCCTGAAGCAGCTACAGAAGATGGACCACTGTCCCTCTGCACCCCCATAAGATTATGGGAGTAAAATCTCTGAGGGAGGAATGAGAAAGAAGGGAAGAGGGCAGGACACAGCCATTAAAGGAATGCCACAGCAATTAGTACCAAGATGGCAGGAAAGTCAACTCCCAACAGATCTGGAGGCCCAAGATGGCAGGAGATTCGACCTCCAGTGGACCTTGAGCTATACATATTGTAATGTATGCATTATACACATTGTAATGTACTAGCATGGTGAATGGTACACCCACAAGTGCCATGACAGTTCCAAAGCGAACCATGAAGGGTCAAAGAGAGGGTGGTGGCCCAATTCCTAGGAATCCATGCCTCTTCCCCAAAGTAGCTGGAATAATCCTCTCACTTATTAGCATATAAAAACTAGCAACACCACACATCTCTTGCCTTCCAAGCCTGCACTATGTCTATGGAGTGTGCATCTACCTTTACTTTAACCAAACAACCCACCCTTCCCTGTGTACATCTCTCTAAATAAATATACTTTTACTAAAAAAAAAAAAGTACAGCTTAATCATTAGATTTTAGTTTGCTATAATTTAATCTAATACTTAAAAACCTGGGCCCTCTGGTCAAAAAGGTTTGATTAGACTCCTACATAACCTCAGATGGGTTAACTTCACTAAGCCTCTCATTATCTGTAAAATAAGGATAGTAATATCCTAACTCAAAATTGTTATGACAATTAAATAAGATAATGCCTATAAATTGATAGCTCACATTTATTGAATACATATTATTTCAGATGGCAGTGTTTTCACACAACTATATATTTTCAAATAAGCATTTAGCTATAATTACTGGGACCAATCAGCTTTCCATTAGTTCTCAACTTAATCTCTAACCCAGCCATGGCAATGGTAAATTACAAGCATGTCCTCATTATATAAATGTAATTGCCTTTATATTTGGCAATTTTCCTTACAGTTCATAGAAAATTCCAGATTTTACATAGACTAACTGTATCCTAATATCTTCTGCAAATTAGCTGGTTACTTAATTATCTTTTACTCACAAGGAACACCTTAAAAGATGGTTACACATTATAAAGGCCATTAAATGCTGCAAAAGGTACTGAGATCAATGAAATCATATAAAGGTTCAGTCATTTAAATTAATTTTTTAAAAATTAGACATCAAATATTGTAAATCACTCTTAAGCAGATTTCCAGATAAAATACAACTGAAAAAATGACATTTTTCTTCCAGATAAATAAATGCTTAACATCTATTAGACTATATTAAAAGTCACTATTATCCTTTCACTTCTAGAACAAACACTTGAGACTGCTTCTTCTGAGTGTATTTACCCTGTGAAAATTAAAGCCTTCTTTTTTTTTTTTTTTAACATCACTCATATGCTACTATAAGGTAAGGTCTATAACTAGTTAACAAAGGGCACCATGTCTAGCATTCCATAAAAGAGATTTGGCTTAATAATTTCTAAATCTAAAATTAGGCAGACAAAAGGGAAAAACAGTATGTAAGAGTCAGGAAAGGGAGAAAACAGAGTTTCAATGTTCCTAAAGGAAAAAGCAGGTAACGACAAGTTATAATGACAAACGCTGAAAACAGTTAGCAATATAATACCAAATCTATATTTGGTAAAGTGTTATGAAAATTCTGGTAGTCTCAATTTAAAATATCTAACATTCATCTACTTTTAGCCACATGCTGTTTACAAATCCATTGTATTATAATTCTCTTAAAGAGTTTCTAGTACTCAATAAAGTAGTCATATTGGTTATATTTCCTGCATTTAAATGCAAAATACCATCCCCCAACAACATTTACCAAGCATTCCACATCCATCTGTAAAGCATAAAGACAGTTGTATAAAGTCAATTCTTGACCAGAGGATGTTTCAATATCCTTATCAATGATCAATCAACAATTCAATAAAAATCACACCAAATACGAGGACATTTCTAAAATTTTAAATTCAAAATAAAGCAAATAGAAGCAAAATGAGATTAAAAACTACTATATTATGGTAAACAAAAGGAAGAAAATAAAGTTTAAAATACTGATAAAACAGGATACTTGTTAAAAACATAGACTCTAGAAACAAACTATCTTGACTTAAATTTTAACTCCACCCCGTTTATTAGATAGATGTGCATTCAGCCTTTTCCAGGTTGACGACATCTCTCAGTTCAGCTTTCTAATAATGAGAAGACTTAACCCTTATGGTTGTTGTAAAGAATAAAAGAGATAATCAACACAAAGAGCTTAGCCAGAGAACAAGGACTTAATAAGCAATAGTATTAGAAGTAGTATACATCAAAAGGTTCCAGAGATTACAATAAATCTAAAGCTGAGCAATCTAGAATTTCTAAAGCAATTATTAAAATAAAATATAGACATCAATTTACAAGTTAAATGCTCTCCTAAAGTTACTTGTGAACTTGTTTAAATATATAAATTTACGATTCACGTAAAAACTTAAATCTATTACTCTAGCTTGCTATTAAATAACTCTTGAGATGAATGTTCATAATAATAATCTCTTAATTTATCAGATTTTAAAATACTGATTATTCACATACTGGTAGAAGGTTTTGTCTTTGTTTTGGTATTAAGCT